ACACACACACACACACACACACACACACACACACACACACACACACAAAATAAGAGCATTTTAATATTTATTAAATTAAACTGGCCGATTACAATTACAGTTCATTTGGGCCTCAAAAAAGTAAAACATGAGTTATTTTCATTTATTCAACTCCTTCTTTTGATACCATCTACTGTGCCACTGTACAATATTAAGGTTTATGAGATGTGGCTGATTATCTCACCTGGGCTCGATGACCTCTCCTGTGACAGACAGTAGAGTTCCTCCTCTGGGATCATTGGGACCGTCTCCCAGCAGGCCTCTGGGGGGGATACCGCCTGGTCCTGAGGAGACAATAGTACATTCAACCACATGAAAATACCTTCCCTGTTCCTTGACCAGGAAATGTTTCATGACTAATCCGTTAAGATTAGGAAGAAATTCCAGTTGAGGGGAAACCCCACACAACTCTAAAGGTGAGTGTTTGCTCAGGTTAGATATCTCAGAAAACAAGCAGAGCTGTTTGGGAGGTGATGAACACAGACAGAACACAGTGACCACAGCAAGATGCCACAACACACAGGGAGATATCAGGAACAAGGAAATGCAGCAAAAACAAGCCCGTGGATATTAGGAGGGAGATTAAAGGTTCAAAACACATGAAAACCTGAAAAATACATTAAAAACTTCTATTCCCACACAGTCCTGACTTCAGAGCATTTTTCCTACTTGTGTCTTGTGACTCTGGAGTGACAGGAAGCATGCAGAGAGAAGTACAACGGGTATGTCAGTGTTTTGTTAAGTTCCTGTTAAGCAGCATGAATACCTTCTGCCTACAGTGATGCTATCGGAGTAAACAGTAGAGTACAATGTTTTGATCAAGTTCAGTTAAGCATGAGTAGATCGTACAGTCACTGGACCGCACACAGCCAGTTAACATCTCCTGTTGGCGGAGGAACGATTCGTCTAAATGAGAGATGGACAGCCTCGCTCTCAGCGTAGGGAGAATCATGTTGTGATGAAATCTTATATCAAGTTATAGTGATACACAATTATGTGTGTGTGTCTGTCAGTGTGTATATATATATATATATATATATATACACACACAGTATATAGTTGGAATAGAAAATATTCAGTACTTTTCATTTGTGTTTAATTCAAACAGTAGTATACACAAACAGGGTCTACCATGTGGTTATTTTTATATAGATTATTTATTTACTGAACTACCAGAAAACATGTTGGATCGTGATATAACTTTATAAACCGAAACGTCTTTGTGTAAATCCTCATCGGAGCAACCAGAATATTACCGTACATCGTAAATCTCATTTGAATTACTTTCTAAACAAAGCGTCACAACCGTGACCGACAGCACCGAGGCTACAAACGGCACGCAAACACAGAAAATGAAAAAGGCTTTTTTTTGGGCGGTAAAAATGTTCACCCCAACATCTGCAACATGTGGCCTCAACATCAGGAGATCTCCCGTTGCCCACATTCATCAGTCTGAATCAATGAGAGCTCAAGTCTCTCCCAAACTCCCCCGCACTACTTATAGCAGACAAAACATCCAAACCACCGTCCGCCAGTCAGCACGGAAAATGTTTGTCAGTGCCAACGATTGAGATACTTCGGCGAATCAAAGGTTGTGGGTTCTTCTAGCTACCAGACCGGTTCGCCAAGATGTTAAGTTGCATCACGATCAGAGTCACGGCTGCATATTTGTACTACACTGCATATCTACGATCCGATAGCGCTGGGCAATATATCAATATAGTATCGTCATATCTTAATACGGCATAAGTCTTTTCCTGGTTTTAAATGCTGCATTACAGTAAAGTCAGAACTTACCAGACACTCTAGCTGTTCTATTTTTTCCCTTTACCCTCTTTAATAGTATATCCACATTTAATATCCATATTGCTGATTATTATTTTTCAAATTCTTTGTGAAAGCACCGAAGGTCAATCGAGGTTTTTGGTCAAAAATATTGTGATATTTTGATTTTCTCCATATCGCCCAGCGCTTTTATCCAAATGTTGACCCTTTTTGTCCAATGTTGACCCTGTTTTGTGCACATTCATATTTTGAACTACATTTAGCAAATTCCCTTCACAGCTTTGTTTATCTGATGTACAACATACTCAGCATTACTTCTGCTGTCGATAATTTTACTACTTATTCTCTACACAAACAAACATTTTACATTCCTTATTAACTTACAAGTCAGTTACATCATTTTAAATATAGATATATACATTTTTTTCTCCTTTGAGGTATCCTATTACTGTGCTCAGCTTCACACACACACACACACAGCTTTGTCAGCATCATTCACGTTTTCTTTGAGGACATGTGCTACATTTCTACTGAGAGGATTCTAAATAAACTATAATAACGATCTAAAATACTCACTTACTAAAGTAAACATTTAAATATTAGGCATTAACACTGACATAGTAAACATGCAAATAACATTTGCATCCACTCTGGGCAAACCTGCATCTGTGCACATGCACCAGCGCCCCCCCGACCCTCATGAAACACACCGTGTTCCGGTTATGATAAAGCTCAGAGATCATTATCGTTACACAAACGGGCTTAATAACTACTTTAACGGCTGAATAAAGGGTTCATATTTGATAATTGTGGACATGCAGTCTAAAAAAAAAAAAAAGTGTACAAAGCAAACACTAAAGCCCAGAGGTGTTGAGCATTTCGACATATCTGGCCTCTCCATAACCGTCCTACTAGAGAACTGAAGGAGTACAGTGATACCTTGAGGCCGCTCGATAGCAGCTTGCCCAGACGATCCTGTGGGAGAATGCTGAAGGTTTCCTGAGCCAGCATTAAAGTGAAAAGAACAGGAGACACAAGACTCAAGAGAGCGGAGCGGCACATTAGAAGCGGGCTCGTGACAACAACGTACACACGTACACACGTACACACGTACACACACACACACACGTACACACACACACACACACACACACACACACACACACACACACACACA